CACCATCGGATGGTTTCGAATAAGTATAAAGAAGAAGATCTCTTCTTCCAATAATTGATCCGACCGGTCATCAAAATGTCATTTTGATTCTGGAGGAGTGGGAGTGGTAGGCCACCTCGTTTACTTTTTTTATAATTCCCAATTCCAAACGCACTTGGTTTTATATTTATATATAAATATATATGCGGACTGTACTCATTAAGAGCATTAACTATAGTCGCCTGCCTCATTAACTAATGGCTGTTGACACTTGACAGGAGGCCGTTGGATTTTCGGTCATAACTCATAATAACGTCATGGAACCACGTTTCCATTCAGGTTCAACCACTCCGATCCTCGGTCAACTTGGCCATTTGGCCCTTGGGTGGAGTGGTCTGGTCGCAACTCGCTAGTCGCGTTGAGTGAGAATTGGTCACAAAAGGATCCCCCTGCTCACGAGAATCCTGTCCACGCCTACCCACTTTACACCACCCCTGTGAATTGGGAATATCTCCCCCTGCATAATTTTATACAGAGGATGAGATGTTTTCAATGTGTGGCTACGATAATATGGGTCAATTTTCAAGTTCAAACTTGGAAGTTCGAACCCATGTTCATGTATGGTTTCTTCAATGGCCCGATCCTCGTACAAGATCAATGATCTCTTCCAATATCTGTTTCTCAATCTCTTTACCGAACTGTCATGTTCCACAGTAGAAAATTGTGGCAACCAGTAATTGCGCGGGTGCACGGTGCAACCATAAACCTGAATATATCACAGTTTCTAAGTGGGTAGAGAGAAGCTCACGCTCATGGAATAGAAGAGTGAGTGTTAAGAGGACTAATTAATTAGGAGCGCTTTTGGATTTACCACACCTCCTAACTCCTAATTAAGAAGCCAATTGTATACTTCTTCTATGACTGCACCATCCATTTGAGTTCCCAGCTGTGACATTGCTTCTCTCCTATTTAATTTGCAGGGCGTTGCTTGATCAGCACTCAGCAGAAGGAAACAAATTAATGTACGTATGTCGTCAAAGCTATGGCCCAGCCGCCCAGGCCAGTCAGTATTAGTAATGCATGTTATGCATCTTCTGCATACTAGCTACCTTCATTGGACTCGCAAATTTATAATATATCAACCAAACAATTAATTAATGGGGGATGTTAGACAGTTTTGTATGTCCTTAGCTTCAATCCGATTTGATGTACTTTTGTTATTTAGTGRAAATAAATAAAGTGYAYGTTYGATTCATGTTGTTTGGTTTAATTCTGTGTAAGACCCTAAAACTGGACACTTATAGAGATTCGTGTTAGTTTTAAATGTTCACAGCCATTGGATAAGTCTGGGGAGATTTATCCTACCAAGGCTGATACTGGTATGCCACCAAGTGTTGGGATGGCCTGTCTCAGCCACCAGGGTAAGACCCAAGGCACATGCAGTATGGGATTACTTGAATCATTGAACCAGATCAGATTTCCAGTATTGCCCTGTACCTTGGAGACAGATGGGCAAAACAGGAAAGTTACACCTGACCCCTAGACTCGATTATGACATTTCACTAGGTGTCGGATCGGGCTATCTTTGATATGCCAATCAGTGAGATCCTTAGATGGGGGTCAAAACCTGGGTATGTTGGGACAGTTTGAGAATTCATCTGAGTGGGTGATCATAGTGACRGGATCAGCCCCTTTGTCGGACAAAGGATAATGATCGGAAAAGGCACTCTCTCTAATGGAAACCAAACTGCCGACAGTTGATTTCAATCGTTGGAATTTTGTTTTGCAAAATTAATATATTTATATATATATATATATGTACGGTTTCGAATTGTTTGCAAATGGTTTTAATTCCCGGGATCCATGTGAGTGGAGAGTGTGGCACTGTTCCTTGCAGCCGAGGGAGAGGTCCTCTCTTGTCGGGCAGTGCTTGATCATTAAGGGCTGAGAGGTTAAGTGTAAGACCATTTAGGATAGTACCTGATGGGCTAATCTTTCACCTGCCCACAGTCCCTGTGTAAGTGTTGGACCTACCAAGTATGGCAAACAATGTTGGGAACTGATTAAATTATTAATGTTGAAACCAAATGTTAATTAGGGCTGTTTTCTTATGCAGCTCTTTAATGGCTGAAAAACCCCCATTATGCCATTCAGCCGTTAAATAGGGAAAGGAGCTTGCCCCCCCTCTCTCTCCTCCCTACTTCAATAACTGATTCACTAAAAGTCAAAGCAATAAACCAGTTGGTTCGACCAATTCTACTGTTATCGAATGGTTCCTGCCTTAGGGTAGTTGAATTCACCAGCCAACCTCCGAATAATGAATTTTGAAACTAATTACACATACTATGAACTTGCCAACTTACGTATACCGGCATGGCACGTAATGATAGATTGGATTTCCTAATGGAAATTTTAATGACCAGACAACGATATTGGGACGTGGTAGTTAAGAAAGGGCTATCGATCAGTCTAACGATTGACCAACAAAAAAACTATGTAATATCCGGCCCCACATGGTGGTTACAGCTTACAGGTCAATGGTCATCCTACCACAGTGTGTTTCTCTCCTGCCCCCCAGTACTCTTCCTCCCAATTCCAAACTTCCCTACTAAATGAACACTGTGCTTTGCTTGGGCCAACCTGGTCTGGTACTAGTTGGTATGTTTGGGCACAGCTTACATATGACATAATAGTGTGTGGGTGTGGCTCATCTTGTATGTCCAGAAATTACACCTTCATCTTTTTTATGTATCTAAATTGGGTTTGTAACTGATGATGCATAATTCGGCCGGTCTTAGCTATCAATGATCTTATCTCTGAACTGAGTGGCGGGGGACCTGAAACGGAGGGGGTGAAGAAGCTCCGGGGAGAACCCGGCGTAAGGGCTCCGAAGTTCAAGTTAGAATCTTTCAAAGGCAAGATAAGCCAAATAGCGCAAAGTTAGCATACCTCGTTCTTGGGGGTAGGGAGCCTTTTATAACCACCTCGCGCATTCACTTCCAGGCTTCTGTCAGATCGGGCATAATTATCTCTGAGCTCCTGCCAGTTCGGATGTCATCCCCTCTGGCCGGACAGAACCGCCACTGCTCCTTTTGTCGGAGCCGTCTCTGCGGCTGGTGACGACGGTGGCAGGTGGCGGTGGCAGGAGGCCGTTTGAAGTGCGGCTGTCAGGCGTCAGATCCCAAATCAGTCAGGTGCGCCGCCCTTGGATACGGACGTCCTCGGTGTCAGGTACGTTTGGTCAGTCTGGTGTTTCGGAAGCGAAGTGCTGGAGTGGCGAGCGAGATGTCTTGAGTTCGGTTTGGGGAGTGTTTCGAGCTGCCATGGGCCAGCTCGGGTCACGGCTTTGTGAGGCTTAGGACCCGAGATAGTTCGGGCTCCTTGCAGGGAGCTCGGGTTCTTAGTGGGGAGCTCGGGTTCTTAGTGGGGAGCTCGGGTTCTTAATAGGGAGCTTGGACTCCCAGTAGGGAGCTCAGGTCTTGGTGGAGTTCGGACTCGGTAGTGAGCTTGGACTTTCGGTGCTCGTTTTGGGCGCTCTGCTGCCCCGAGTTGCTTGCTTTTGCCACGTGTCGGGTGATTGCGAAGTCGGGCCAAATTTCCCTTCATCAGTAATCACTAACATTATATCAAAGATCAAGCTGCTGATTACAAGGCTTTATAGCTAGTTCCAAATTTTCTTTTTTTTTTTTTTTTCAATTATTTTGTATAGCTAGTTCCAAATTCCGGATGATACGCTTCTTGGATTTATGTACCAATTGTTGTCCCCACTAACAAGAAGATGGGGAATTGAACGATTTGAACGTGGGTAGTGTGGACAAGCTAAGAAGTAAGAAGTCGTCGTGGGCAAATTTTTATGAAAGCAACAAGCTGAGAGCGTGGATCGGAAATGGTTGAGGTGAGGTTAGGTCGATGCCATTATCATTTCAATAGCTAGCGTAAAACCAGGCTCATTTATATCTATCAAGGCCGTTAATGTAATCAGCTTGTTGCCATGAATGACTGTCTAAGGTTGACGTTAAGGTCAGTGCTAGGAGATTGCAACAGCAGATGCGAGCTTAGTGTTGAGTATCAAGCTATCAAGCTATCAATCGGGTTAACTTCTATTGTTCCGATCCTTTGGAACCCGGCCATTTCATCACTACCAACTAGCTAGGCTAACCTGTTTTCTTCGCCTTGCATTAAGAATTGCTGTGCAGAGTGGGTCCCTATTTTGCTTGGAGAAACAAACGAGGACACCCCCATAACGTAGGTAACAAGGCGATAAACACGTATTGTACGGTTCTACTCACACACACACATAATATGATAATTCAAAAAATAATTTATGATCCTTATCATATAATGATCATCTCTCTCTCTGGTGGTTGATCAGACCAGAATCAGATAAGCGTCTTAAATTAAAGTTTCTGTGCCCCTATGTTTTTAATTTTAAGCTTTTTCAGGGGAGATTGTCTCAAAAATTGTCTTCATCTCTTTTTCTGGGTCTCACTCAATCTCTTACACGAGCAAACATGATACTGAGAATTTATAAAATAATGCTTCTTTTGCTTCTTCGCTGAAGAGCAACAGGGGAACAGTTTCTGATCCAATTATTTCCACTTTGTCTGCTCTTTACTTAAAAGAAACCTTCTGCTCATTTGGCAGTTCTGGTCGGGTCATCGGAATTAACGCAAGAATGCGGCGACTTTTCCGTTCCGGCGAGAAGAATAAGTGGCCGGAAAAGTAGAGATGACCAGTTTTTCTCTAAGGAAAAAGCTTTCGTATAAAAACCACCTTAAACTTGTTAAATATAGTAAGACATTCTCTTTGTGATTGTTGATGCTTTAGTTAATTATATGGTAAAAGTTGGTCCGCTTTTCAGTATTCCCTGTGAATATAAAAATAAGGATTATGCTTATTGCTTAAGGGGGTTGTATACTTGTATTTGAAATTTTGTATTTCAGAAGAGTTTGCTGGGCAGGATTCCTGGCTGGAAAGAAGAAAAAAAATCCAATAAAACAAAAGAAAATGTTAGATTAGATAAATTTTAAAAAGAAGGAAAAAAGGCTTCCTTAGAACTGGAACTGTTTTGTACACTGCTAAATTAAAAACAGTCAAAAGAAAAAGAAAAGAAGAAAGAAAAAAGGATCAGTTAATCTAAGGGAAAGGGCGCGGGGGGGGGGGGGGTTCTACTTTCTAAGGGAGACTTCTTTTTCTTAGATCATGGAAACAGCTCCGTTCATGCTCTTTCATCACTATCACTACCAAAGTAATAGTTGAGGACATCAGTTCTGCTTCTGCGTGCACCATTGCTTATGGCCTGGGACCCACTTCGGGCATTTTGGGCTGAAGTAATTCGAAAGAACCCTTGAGTTCAGAAGCTCAACAATGGGAGCAAACTTTACACACCGTGGTGTCTTGTACTGGTTTATTGAAGCACCTCTGCTGATAGCGTAGTCCATGAGCTTGTCGAAGGTCCCGGTCTCTACGATCTTAATCTCTAGAGGTCCAATAGACTTGTCCGAGACACGACCTTGGCGATACACACTGTTGAGGGATTCTTCAATTGTAAGGCAACAATCCTCGAAAACCGAAGGAGGAATTGGGGTTGTGCTATCGTGACGAAGCTCCCAGTATAGGACGTAATGGCCGGGGATGGTCGTTGTATCCGCATAGCTTGTGTACTCGATGAGCGATGCGTCGAACGGCACTAAATGGTTGATAGCATCCTTCACTGCAGCTTGCAGCTCAACCTCGTCCGTCTTATCAGAGTCTATGCTTAGAACCACGTTCTTGCGGCAAACGAAGTTGAATTGAGGAGCCTTGTTCTTGAACCCGGCAACTCGAAGCACGTCCCCAACTCTGTAGCGATAGAGTCCTGTTTAAGATCAAAATCCATGCTTGAATGTCATGTTGGATTTACGAGAATATATAGTATTCAAATAGACTGAACCCGGCCAGCTTACCTGCATAAGTGGTTACAACAAGCTCATACTCTTGCCCGAGCTTGACGTCAACCAGATCGACCAAGTCTTGCTGCTCCTTCTCGTTCAGAGATTTGGGTACTGAGATGGAAGTGGTGAAGCCATTGTTCCTGTGCACTGGCAAGAACTCGAAGTAGGCCATTGTTGGAATGAGGGTGTAGGAGACTTCGTTTGGTTTGCAGAGAGGATTGAGGTTTAGGCCAAAGTAGCACTCTGAAGATGCGTACATGGTGCACACGAGGGGGAGGCCATTGCTGTAGTAATCCAGGGTAGGAATATACTGAGACATGGTCCCAGTCACTATGACATCAATATATTTGGTGTTGGGCCATAACCTAGTTATGATCCCCTGCCATGCCTCCCTAGTACATTCGGACTCAATGAAGTCTGCAAGCTCGGGGTCGGGTTTGAGAATTCTAAGGACGGCGTCTCTCACCGATGGGTCTGTGATCTGGGGGTTTATAGCTCCAGTTCGGATGTCGTTGCAGAGAAGGGACCAATGTTTCTCAAGGAATCGGATAGCTCGAATGAAGCCGGAAGCAAAGACGGCTCCTACTCGTAGAACTTGCTTATTTTGACAGAGGCCACAAAGCAACTGGGAGTACATGCTCTGGTATGAATCTGGACAGAGAATGGTCTCATTTGGACTGGTGTAGTTGGTGTATGGATCATAAGGTCTATGCTTAAAGTGTAAACTCTTGTAGTAGCTCGTGAGGACCGGCCGAGCTACTAGTCCTCCCGGCGTCTTGGCCTCAGATTTTATGAACAAGAAGTACATTCCCTTGCCTTTGTCCAAACCAGGAACAAACTGGTCCATGACAGGCATCAGAAGGCTGTACAGCAAAGATCGCCTCTCGAGCTCTTCTTCAATTGTGGGCATCAGTTTCCTCTCTCCAGCAGATGTTCCCGAACTAGATATATATATATATATATATATATATTATAAAGAAAAACAAAGCCACCACTCATGTCAAATAACAAATAATTGGTTATCTCCGAAACCCACAACAACACAACAGAACCGTTTAATTAGCCTGTACAAGCAGTCAAACAGTAGTAGTAAGTCATAATGAAGAGAGTGGACACGACACGTCAAAAAACGCACCTAGTCAAGAACTCAGAGATGGGGAGTCCACAGAGGATTGGTGAAGTATCTCCATTAGCGATGCGGTTGATATCGGACTGCAGATCCTCATAAGTAACAACGGGCATGACCTTCTTGAAGGTCTCACGATCTGTACGCCCATTAAGCCCATGTCGCTGTAAGTATTCAACATGGGCACTGCGAGAGAGAATCTCAGCAAGGACCCGTTTCTGAATTTCATCGGCGTTGGTGGTGACATCTTCAATGAACTCAAGTGCGTTCTGGTTCACATCAGGCCTGTTATGGTCGATCACGTAGTCATGGGTTGCCGACGCGGCTATAGGAACTTTGGGAGCTTCTGGCATGGTTTGAATTTCCAAGTTGGAACACTATGGAGAAGGGTAAATAATTGAATAAATGGGTGGGCCGGGGAAGGAAGAGAGACTCGGAGTCTGATGAGATATGAGAAGAGAGAAAGGCAATTGCAGTAGGAGAAGAGCTAGAGCCTAGAGGTGAGATGGTTTGGTGGGCAAGGGAGGAGGGCGAGAGGGGGATATATATAGAAATAGAATAGAGCTAGCGAGAGTGGCTGTATGCCCTATCTATATATTATACAGAGTGTATACTCGTCCGAACACCAGAACAAAGGGTTCTAAGCTCTTCTCTAACTTGGAACTTGGAAGGAACAGTAGTGATGAAGGGAAGGGCTATATGGTAAATATGCTGTATGTAGTTATTTTTTTTTTTCTGTTTTATAATATAATATTGACTTTTCTTACGCTGCAACCTACACTATATAAAATTTATTTATTTAGTTGTGTAGTATCGGGGGAGATGCTGTCTCCTGACTTTCCTGTACACGCGCGTGTGAGTGGGCGTGTGGTTGTCGTATAAGGAAGGAAGGAAACCGTTTGGAGTTTTATCCTCTGGCTCTGGGGATGTCTAAAGGGCAGAGAGAGGAGAGGGGGAGGGGGAATTGGAATTGATGGGCAATATCCAGTAAACCCGCCGCGGTAAAGTACACCGGGTACATGGCGGTTGTTCCACAAGGAAGGGGCAGTGGTAAACAACCAAGCCATAACCTCCGTAATATGTGATTATGTGTCGTGCCAAGGTTTGAGTATAGGAGCTTGTGCTGTTGCTTATTGTGAGTTGTATTGTAACTTGTGTGGGTTGGCCATTGCAAAATAATGGGATGATTATGGTGAGATTAAAATTTTTTATATCATATTATGAGGTGTGCCGGCACCAGTAGTCAGTAGAGGTTCATTCATGGCTTTCTGTGGGCCATATTGTAAGGACAGATGAGTGATGATCCTTTTCGTTAGTAGAAAAGAGTTGTGGACAATTGTGTAGTTGGACAAGTGGATCGGCCCAACCCAGATGTGTGAGGTTCACGGTGAGAGAGATCGAAGATTAATATAAGTCAAAGAATTAGTGCCCGTGGGACTGATAGTTTCCTAATGTGATTCCTTTAAAAAAAAGAAGATAATAGTTTTTTTCTGCAAAAAACCAATAAATATATATATATATAGAGAGAGAGAGGTTGAAAGAGGGAGGGGGGATTGGTGATCAGCATTTAGCGTCAGAACAAATGTGGTCGAAAAAGTGGTTAAAGTTTGATATATAAATTGAAGTAAGAAGGTGCACTTTTTTATCATTATTTTTTGATGGATTAGTTGTATACTTGAAGCGTAAATGCATAAAATAGCAGTACAGGCATCCGATCCATATCCATGTTCCATCATCAACGTCAAATCTATGGTGTAGAAAAAATGTCAGTGACTAATCTAATCTGATCTGATGGGGTCCAATCCAATCCATATTCATATGGCATATTCCATCACCATCGTCAAACCGATGGTGTGGGAAAATGTCAGTGATTGATCTGATCTGATGGAGTAGAGTTAATACGTAGGAAGGGCCCATAAATTTGAATTTGCAGTACTTCTTGTCAATAATCAATGTGACGGGACATTGCATTTTGCACGGGAGATTTCAAATATTTTGGAGTAGTTTTTCATGAAATTATAATTACTTTGGGTTTGGGACGGGGAGGGGGCAAAGACGAAAGTTAGTGAGACTTTTTGCTGTGGCACTTGCACAGCTTGCCTTCCAAAAATTGATTTTTGCTGTGGCACTTGCACAGCTTGCCTTCCAAAAATTGATTTTTGGGCATACATACTAATCCTGCGTCTTGACCGTTGGGTTTTCTTTGCCTGATCATGGATGAATAGTATGCGTATGCGGGCCGGGTCCCACAAGAGATAAATGGTGGGACCGGGGAGTAGTATAGGACGGGCGAGGGAAACAGGGAGAGAGGGATGCGAAAGGCCAACTCAGCCAGAGCCAGCAATTGCTTTGATGTCAGCGGTACGTCAGCCACAGCCACCACGAGAGAAGAGGATCACTGCCTCACTGGATCAAGACTAAGGAGTAAGGAGGCTTCTATTGTTAATTGTACACACTTTACTTTGGGGTTTGGACTTTGGACTTTGGAGGGGGAATGTCTCAGACTCGGACCGTCCAACTCCACACGTGGTCCCTCCGCCCGGTGCTGTCGCCTCTTGTCGTCTCACTTTAACCATTGTCTGGTCCCTCTCTCTCTCAAGTGCGTCACGTGTCACCCATTCATTGGTGTTCTCTCCACCCTTATTTCAGCTGCTCGCTATCACCCAGCCCTGACACAGTCAAAGCGTATATCTATCAGAATCGTAGTTGTACAAATCGATTTTTCTTTTTT